ACTTTTTGACATATCTTATGTATTTTCTGGTACTTCACCCCTATTCACTGCTAGCCCTTGTTTCCTCTACCTTTCACTTTTGCTCTGTAGTTTTTCACCTTTCATTTCCATTTGTTTCCTGCACTCTTGTCTCCCAATCAGGTTCCTGTCTGCTGCCACTCTATTTAAACCTTTCCTGGGATAAGGTCATCACTGGCTAGATCAGTATTTATTGTCCATCCCTAATTGCCCAGAGGACAGTTAAGAGTTAACCACATTGCTGTGGGTCTGGAGTCACAGGGAGGCCAGACCAGGTAAGGATGGCGGTTTCCTTCCCTAAAGGACATTGGTGAACCAGATGGGTTTTTCCCAACAAATGACAATGCCTTCATGGTTATCATTAGATTCTTAATTCCAGATATTTATTGAATTCAAATTCCACCATCTGCTGTGGTGGGATTCGAACCCAGGTCCCCAGAATGTTATCTGGGTCTCTGGATTAACAGTCCAGTGAAAAATACCATTAGGCCATCACCTCCCCTAAGTTGGAGCCTGTCCAGCTGGGGATAAAACCATCCAGCCTGCACATGTCCCATTTTCCCCAGAGTCGCTCTCTCTCCTTGAGGAAAAGAAAATTGACATCCTTATTTTGTCTGGTCTACTTGTGGCTTCAGATCCTTCACAATGTGATTGGCTCCTAAATGATCTCATTCAGTGATGATGGCACACACAGCCTCATTGACTTCCTTATCAACATCTTATGCAATAGCCTGACATAGCCATTCTCACATAAGCGTGCCATCCAGACATCTCCATCCCTGCTCACTGTTCTGTCACAGAGATCAAGCAGATCCACCAGAGTTGGCGATAAAATGATATACAGTCTGAGGAATTTTCTCCAGTACCCCATGAAGTCTCAGGTCATATCCAGGCAAGGAAACCGCCTGGGTTTATCATGTACTGACCTCTCAGCTGATGGCTCTGTGCTCCTCCATGTTGAACAACACTTGAAAGAAGCACTGAGGGTGGCAAGGCACAGAATGGACTGTAGGTGGACAACTTCAATGCTCATCACCAAATGGGGCTCAGTAGCACCATCACAGACCGAGCTGGCTGAATCTGGAATGGCAGAGCTGCTAGTCTGGGTGTGTAACCGCTGGTGAGAGAACTAACAAGAGGGAAGAACCTCTTTACATCATCCTCACAGAACTACTTATAGCAGATGCCTCTGTCTGTGGGAATAGTGGTAAAAGTGTTCACTGCATAGTTCTTGTGCAACGTCTCGTCTTCAGATTAAGAAATCACAGAATCACAAAGTTGCTACGGTACAGAAGAAGGCCATTCAGTCCATCATGTCCACACCATCTCTTCAAATAAACACTATTACCTCGTACCAAGCCCCTGCATTTTCCCCATGCTCTAGCACACCATTCCTAACCAAATGATCATTCAATGCCCCAATTGAATGCCTCAGTTAAACATGCCTTCACTACATTTCTAGGCAGATACCCTCCACACTGTTGTGTGAGACTATCACTGTGCTGAATGAAGCATTGAAACATATCTAGCCACTCAAGGCTAGGAATCCATGAGATGCTGTATCACCAGCTCAATTGTAGTCAAATCACATGGACTGATATATCCCTCACTCCACCATTATCATCAAGCCAGGGGTCAACTTTGGTTCAATGGAGAGTGCAGTGTTATAATCCCAGCTGATGGTAACAGTCAGATTCCAAAGTGAAAGCTGCCTTGAAAGAGCCTAATCTTCTTTTTGCAATTTGATGACCATGGTGCTCAGTCATTGAAGATATTAGCACCAGGATTGGAATGAACTTTTCACAAAGAGCTCCCCACCTAGGGTAAATGGCATATTTTTGACACCTTCAGTGCTTCCTCCAAGTAGTTCAACATGGAACCCAAAGGATGGGTATAATGAGGTGATGATTGGCAAGAGGTTTCCTTGGCCAAGCCTTGAGACTTCATGGCTCCATAGTCAATGGTGGGACTCCCAGAGCAATTCCTTACTAATAGTATATCACTGTGTTCCACCACCTCTGCTACTGATGGACTGGTGATGTTGTTGACTGGGCCATGGTCTGAAGTGTGACTCTATGAGCTTTGCTGTTAGGTTGTTGAAATTTTGGTACAAGTCCCAGATGTTAGCAAAGGGTGTTCCCCTGTATGGGCCATTACTGCTTACAGTGCCTGGGTTAATACCAGGTGGTCCATCCAGTTTCCTTTCTTTTCTTTGACTTTATTGTGGTTTTGATGCAACTGGGTGGTTTGCTCAGTCATTTCAGAATCAACCACATTGCTGTGGGTCTGGAGCCACATGTAGGCCCAGACCAGGTGAGGATGGCATGTTGCTCTCCTTAAAGGGCATGAGTGAACCAGATGGGTTTTTACAACAAAAGCCATGCTAACTCCAGATTTTTTTAATTCAAATTTTAACCATCTACCATGGTGTGATTTGAACCAATATTCTTTCTTTTTATTTATTACCCATCCCTAATTGCCCAAAGGGCAGTTAAGAGTTAACCACATTACTGTGGGTCTGGAGTCACACGGAGGTCAGACCAGGTAAGGACGGCAGTTTCCTTCCCTAAAGGACATGAGTGACCCAGATGGGTTTCTCCAAAAATTGTCAATAGATTCATGGTCATCATTAGACTCTTAAATCCAGATTTGTATTGGATTCAAATTCCACCATCTGCCGTGATGGGATTTGAACTCGGGTTCCCAAAACATTACAAGAGTCCTCAGATTAACAGGGCAGTGATAACACCAGTAGGTCATGGCTTCCCAGAATACAGGCCTGGGACTCTGGATTGCTAGTCCACTGACATCATCACTGCAGGAGGGTTATCGCGAAACAAATTCCTGCAGTGCTGTATTAATCTTGTTTGTTGTTTATCCGTCACAACTTCTGTCACATGACCCAACTCGTTAGTTTCAAGCTCTTGCCACTGCTGGAGTTACAGAACTCACCAGCTCACTGGTGATGGAGTCCTTCCCAGTGTGTACACATCCCACCTTCTGCTGGTCCCAGAACCTATTATCACGCAGAACTGCTCATTCATCTGTCTAATCTGACTAGCTTATTCCAGTGCTTCCCAAATATCATCCCACTATCACCTTATTTTTTATTTATTCATTCACGGGATGATGGCGTAGCTGGCTATGCAGCATTTATTGCCCATCCCTAATTGCCCAGAGGGCAGTTAAGAGTCAATCACATTGCTGTGGGTCTGGAGTCACATGTAGGCCAGACCAGGTAAGGATGTCAGTTTCCTTCCCTGAAGGACATGAGTGAACCAGATGGGTTTTTCCAAAATTGACAATGGGTTCATGGTCAACATTAGATTTTATGGTGTGAATTGTACTGACCCTCAAAATGAACTGTGAAGAATTGGGGGACCCTCAATGTGAGGGAGCTGGGGACACCCAATGTGAACTGTGGCAAAGTGGGGGACCCTCAATGTGAGGGAGTTGGGGTCCCTTGATGTAAAATGTGACAGAGTGGGTGACCCTCAATGTAAACTGTGACAGAATGGAGGACCCTCTATGTGAGGGGGTGAGGGACCCTCAATGTGAGGGATTGGGGGACCCTCAATGTGAATTGTGATGGAGTGGGGACCCTTAATGTAAACTGAGGGATTGAGGGACCCTTAATGGAAACTGTGAGGGAGTGGGGGGCCCTCAATGTCATCTTTGGGGTTTGGTGGAGAAGGGGAGAGGCTTGCGAGAGCTGGAGTGGGGTGGCCTGGGAGTGAAGGGGCATGTTGGACCAAGAGTTAGACCTATAGCTCAGCTGGAGCTCCCCACTGACCACTACTGCCTTAGAACTGATGAGCCCAGCTCAGAAAGCTGATGTTTGGGAACCCTTCTCCGATCCAAAATTTACCACCCAGAGATTATTACATTGGTTTTTCTGCTTTTTGTTAAAATTTAGCCTTTAGCTGCTCCTAATGGACAAACCAAACCTCCTGACTGTGCTGTAGGTAAACACATGAACTGTGATCCCGCCCCACTCACACTATAAACTCCTCTCCAGCCCGGTGCAGATGTCTTGAAACTTTCCGCTGGGAAAGGCAATCGTTGTGGATTCTTACTCTTTGCTGCAGTGAACTATGTCTATTCTCCTGGTCTCCACTGTCCTCTACAACCACAACATTCCTATTTTCTCCGGCAGTTGAATGGCATCCTGTAGCATAGGGCCACAGGCAATTTTAGTGGGGAGGTGATAGCCTAGTGGTATTATTACAGGTCTGTTAATCCAGATAACTATGTGGGGACTTCGACTCAAATCTTGCCATGGCAGACACTGGAATCTGTATTCAATAAATGCCTGGAATTAAGAGTCTAATGATGACAATGAATCAATTGTCAGGAAAAACCCATCTGGTTCACTAATGTCCTTTAGGGATGGAAAATTGCCATCCTATGTGGTCTGGCCTGTAATGTGACCCCAGACCCACAGCAATGTGATTGACTGCCCTCTGGGCAATTAGGGATGGGCAATAAATGCTGGCCTAGCCAGCAACGCTCTCATCCTGTAAATGAATTTAAAAATAGTTTACTCCTCTAGCCGTTCAAGCTGCCAGATCCCCAAATCTGTAGGACAATTGCAAGGACCAAGGGGCCCCCACTCCTACCTTCTTAGTCCCCTTACCGATAGGATTAGCAGTCAGACCCTGTTGTCTCTGATCACTGATTAAGTCTGACAGCCCAATCCTAAAGAGTGTGGCTTCATCTGGAACACTGGCCCAGATAATCCACTCCCTCTGTGGTGCAGCGTGTAGAGTTCCAGTTAAGTCTGAGCCAAAGCTCCTTGAACCCAGACACTTGTCTGATCCAAACAACTTGAGGCTCCGCATGAGTTTCGAATGTCTCTTGCCTGTAGAAAGAATTGAGAGTCACTTCCAAAATAAACAAGCTGAGGATCGCCAGCTGACATTGCAAAAACAGGAAGGGGGCGGGTCCACGTCGCGCTGACGGTTTTGTCAGAAATCTGCAATTAGGGATAGTTATATTTTAACTGTTGGGACCTGAGCACATTTTTCTCGTCATCAGAAGGGTTCTGTTTGCTTTGTGCAGCACAGTTAGCAGAGAAGAAGAAAAGTTTAAAGATTATTTGAGCTGACAATATCAGCTGGTGCTGGGAGAGGCTGAGGTAGTAATGACCAGAACAAAGTACACAGTTCAGATTTTCACTGTGGAATCTTTCTTTGCACTGGTCCAATTAACTGCATTTAGGCTGTGAGAGTAGCAGTGTGTCACGAGCTGGGACCCAGAGCCTAGTATGGCCTGCAGTAAATGTGGGCATGACCTCGGCTGGCAATTTTTTGTCCTCCTTATTCCCCTGACATATCCTGTGCTGCTTGTGAAATGCCACCCCCAGTGCCTGGATTTTAAACCCCCTTTCCGGCCAGAGAGCGGCCTGCCTTTCTGTGCCATGTACAGTCAGTTTGGCTGTTGTGATACCACCAAAGACCAGGAAATTATGAACCGCTTCTACAGCATCGTGGATAGTTTTGACTACTCTCTGTATGCCACATGTGCTTCCTACATTCAGGATATGCTGTGTGGGGTAAGTGACTTTAATTGGATGTTACTAATCTATAATTTTCTGAACTTACACATACACATCACACTGTCTGTAACTCCCACTGTATCTCTCAGATTTCTCTATTCTAAAGTTTTTGTGGGCACCCCCCCACCTTCCTCCCTATATGTACCAAACCTCACCCAATATTTGCACTGCCCCTCTCCTAACTTGCAGTAAGACTCACTCACCCATTTCCATTGTTCTCGTTGACATACACTGTCTCCTGATTCAGCAACGTCTCGAATTTGAAAATCCAATCCTGCTCTTTACCTCCTCAAAAAATTCTAGTTAATTTGCTCAGCACAATTTCCCATTTGTGCCAATACGCTGATTCTGCTCACTCTTCTGAGTGAGCTGCTACTGTATCCTTTATGATAAACTCTAACATTTCATAGCCCATTGCTCCCTGACAGCAGCCACACAAGTAGATAGGGTGGTAAACAAGGCGTACAGCATGCTTGCCTTTCGTGGTTGGAGAACTGAGTACAAGAGCCAGGATGTCAAGTTGTGGTTTTATAAGATTTTGGTTAGGCCGCACTTAGAGTATTACATTCAGTTCTGGTCACCACATTACAGGAAGGATGTGGAGGCTTTGGAGAGGGTGCGGAAGAGGTTTACTGGGATGCTGCCTGGATTAGAGAGTATGAGCTACAAGGAGAGGCTAGGAAAACCCAGGTTGTTTTCTCTTGAGTGGTGGAGACTGAGGGGAGACTTGATAGAGTCTATAAAATAATGAGGTGTATAGATAGGGTTTGACAGTCAGAATCTTTTCCCCGGAATTGAAACGTCTCATACTCGGGGCATGCATTTAAGGTGAAAGGCAGAAAGCTCAAAGGAGATATGAGGGGTAAACTTTTTACACAAAGTGTAAGAGGAGTCTGGAACACACTGCCAGGGGTGGTGGTGGGGGCAGATATGTTAGGGGTGTTTAAGGGGTTTTTAGATAAGCACATGAATACATAAGGAATGGAGGGACATGGAGGGCAGGCAGAAGGGATTAGTTTAATTTGGCGTCATGTTCGGCATAATATCGTGGGCCGAAGGGCCTGTTCCTGTGCTGTACTGTTCTATGTTCTATTTTCCTAATAACAAATGCTAAGCTAACTGGCCTGTGTCTTTTTTCCTTTAAAAATAAAGGTGTTACATTGACAGTTTTCCAATCTTCTGGGAATTTTTGAGAATCTAAGCATTCCTGGAAAATTATTACCAACGCATTCACTGTCTCTGTGGCTAATTCCTTCATTATCCTAAGATGCATCCCACTAGGTCCAGGGGGCTAATTGGTCTTTGGTCCCATTAGTTTCCCCAGCACATCTTTTCTCTGAAGATAGTTATTGCATTTATCTCACTATTAAAACTGATGTACAAAAGGAGCAAAGGTGATTTGTGAAAAAATACTCCTGAGCATGGAAGGCACTCTCTGGAAATATAGTTGAGGCAGGCTCAATTGAGGCTTTCAAGCGAGGCACTTGGATAGAAATGGTGTGCAGAAACATGGGGGAGAAAGCAAAATATTGCCACTAAGTAACGATTGTTGCTGGAAGAGCTAGTATAGGCACAAGTGGGTGAATGGTATCCTTGCAATAACAATTCTGTGAAATTCAATATAGATTAACAGAGTAAGATAAAGTGTTTTAATTCTCCATTCACTATTCTTCATATACCTCATGAGACAATAAAAGCTAAGGACAAAAGACGGTTGTGCATGATTCAGTATCAAACCGTAAAGAAACATTAGAAATTAGACTTTATATGCATATTCAAATGTTGTTTGTTATTTATCTTCTCAATGCCTTTTTCCTGTCTTATGGATGCAAGTAGTCCTGTGGATCCATTAGGAACCGTGGTGTCAGAGGGAGAAAAATAAAAGCACCCAATTCTTATCAGAGGATGAGAACTTTATTTATTTCTGTTTGGGCTGAATTTTAACCTGAGGTAAAAAGTCTCAACAACTTATTAAATTACCCTCTTCCCTTCAGAGAGAGGACTGGCTCAAATAAAACCAGAAAAGGCTGCGGGTACTAGCCCTTACTAAACCTTTGTGGGTCAACCTACAGCACAGGGACTGCAGTGGTTCAAGAGGGCAATGCACCCCCACCTTCTCAAGGGGCAACTAGGGACTGGCAAAAGGGACTAGCCCATGTCCCACGAGTGTATAAAAAAAACCTAAATCAGGCCTCATAAAGTTAGTATCTTCTGAAATAAGAATGAGAAAGAAACTACAGTTTCTTTTTGAAGTGTTTTAGAAACCTAAGTAAGTAATTTTGTTTGTTTGTTTTCGTGTCTAGAACAAACAACCTTTGCAATTCTGGATAAGGGTTAATGTAAAAGCTTAAAAATCAATATTACAGAGAATGCTGCTGTAAAGCAAGTCCTTACAAATCTTAACTCCACCAAACAAGCCTTTGCAAGTGATTTACAATCTCTAATCACTCAAGGCACCTCCCATTGAGGTAGAATATGGTTTGTTGACAGGATAATTAAATATTAAACAGCACGTGCTGTCATGACCAGTCAATACTAGTGTTTTGTTTCTGTTCTCTAGTATCTGCAGTTCTTTGGCTTTTTTATATCTAGCTTGCAATTTCCACTTGCAGACTGGGAAAAGACATTTAAAGGACAATTTTTGATAAGGGAGAATGTCCATGATTCACTCCAGTGTGACAGTGAGAAATAGTACACTTGACTTAATAATGGATGGCCTGGTGGAGGCAAAAAGGCTTCATGTTAATTTAATGCTGAAAATTGAGAATTGTAGAGGAGCTCTCTGGGTGGATAAATTAAGATTGTCAATGACCTTGTCCATCTGTAGTTAAATGATGACAATAAATTTATTTTCCTGACTATTAACACTCATCATTTCAATGTTGATGTTTAGCTAAATATCCTGCTCTTCAAGGAAACTCATTCAGGGCAGCCTCCAATTTATTTAGATCATAGACTGTAAGATATTGGAGCAGAATTAGGCTATTCAGCCCATCGAGTCTGCTCCACTATTTGAGCATGGCTGATATGTCTCTCAACCCCATTTCCCTGCCTTCTCCCCATAACCCTTGATCCCTTTATTAATTACAATCCTATCTATCTCTGTCTTAAATACACTCAATCACTTGGCCTCCACAGCCCTCTGCTGCAATAAATTCCACAGATTAACCACCCTCTGGCTGAAGAAATTAGTCTTCATCTCAGTTCTAAAGGGTCGTCCCTTCACTCTGAGGCTTTGCCCTCGGGTCCTAGTCTCTCCTACTGGTGGAAACATCTTCTCCACATCTATTCTATCCAGACCTCTCAGTATTCTATAAGTTTCAATCTTATCCCCCTTCATCCTTCTAAAGTTCATCGACTACAGACCAGAGTCTCCAACCACTCATCATGTGACAAGCCCTTCATCCCCAGGATCATTCTTGTGAACCTCATCTAGACCCCTCCAATGCCAGTACATCCTTCTTTAGATACAGGGTCCAAAACTGCCCAAAATATTCCAAATGTGGTCTGACGAGAGCTTTACCCAGCCTCAGCAGTACATCTCTGCTCTCGTATTGTAGCCCTGTCAAAATGAAGCTAACGCTGCATTTACCTTTCCAACTGCCAACTACGCCTGCATGGCAACATGAAGAGAATCTTGAAAAAGGACTCCTGAGTCCCTTTGTGTTTCAGGTTTCTAAAGCCTTTTCCATTTAGAAATGATTCTACACCTTCAATGGGGCAGCATGTTGGCTCAGTGGTTAGCACTGCTGCCTCTCAGCGCCAGGGACCTGGGTTCAATTCCACCCTCGGGTGACTGTCTGTGTGGAGTTTGTACATTCACCCCGTATCTGTATGGGTTTCCTCCGGGTGCTCTGGTTTCCTCCTACAGTCCAAAGATGTGTAGGTTAGGGTGGATTGGCCATGCTAAATTGCCCATAGTGTCCAGGGATGTGAGGGCTAGGTGGGTTAGCTGTGGGAGTTAGGGAGATGGATCTGGGTGGGATGCTCTTCAGAGGGTTGGTATGGACTTGTTGGACCAAAAGACCTGTTTCCACACTGTAGGGATTCTATTCTTCCTACTAAAGTGCAAAACCTCACACCTTCCCACATTTTATTCCACGTGCCACTACTTTAACCATTTTCCTAGGCTGTCCAAGTTCTTCTGCAGCCTCCCCACATCCTCAATACTACCTGCCTCTCCACCAAAATTTGTGTCATCTGCAAACTTAGCAACAATGCCCCCAGTTCCTTTATCTAGATCGTTAATGTATAATGTGCATGTTCGTGGTCCCAACACTGACCCCTGTGGAACTCTACTAGTTACCAGCTGCCATTCTGAAAAAGACCCCTTTATCCGTGTTCTCTGCATTCTGCCGGTCAGCCAATCCTCTGTCTATATTAGTACCTTGTCATGCACTTTTCGTATTTCAAAAATATACTTTATTCACAAATTATCTGTAATTAAACAGAAGAAATGCAAAACGGTTCAGTCTAGACTTTACAGAAGATTGGTGGAATTTTGGCATTCATCATTCAAGCTTCAATCCAGTTGCAACAAAAAAAGCCATTTTCTAAACATGCAAGGAAAGTATTTACTTTCCCATAAAGGCTACAAGGGTATCTGGAAACATAACAGACCCTCATTATATTTTGGCAGAAATTCCTTCGACTTTGGTCTTTTACCACTGCACTTTAGCAGCAGCTGCCCCAAGTTTTACTCAACACTTAATCCTGGACCTTGGAATGTGCCAGTCTGCAACACCCCATCAAGGAAGTGCGCATGTTACAACATACAAAGCACTGTTGGTAACTTATTAACAATTGCGTATGTATGACTGTACAGGTGCTCACTATGCGCACATACACATCACACTGTGTGTGGTTCGTTCTGTATACAACCCCATACATGTCACACTGTGTGTGACACCCTCTGTACCCGATATTTGTAAAGTGTACTTTACAATGTCCAACACAGGTATAATCAATAATAGACTGGCACAGATTTTGTAGTCAGA